AAATAAAATTAAATATTAATAGTCTTAATGCTTTTAATGGTGGCATAATCTCAGCCCACAATGTTATATGATAATGAAGTTTATGATTTAACGTTAACAAATGAAGTTCCTGTAATATTCTCCTAACATTGGATGTTTGAATGCTGAGTAAAAGGAATCCATCATAATAAATGTTCTGTAAAATTTTTATGATATTTAAATCAATCATTTTCTTTTGTAAATGGCGTGAAAATGGGAGGACGTGTGTTTGTAGGACTACATCTACTGTTGCATGAATATGGGCTTGCATCAAAATGTAGATCCGAAGAGTAAAGGACCCTAAAACAGATAGGGGAGAGTGAGTTTGGGCAAAAACACAAAAGGTGAACAATGGGCTCCAATGGGAAACTCAAGGCCTCAAGCGCAATTGATTTTGTTTCCTTTGCTTTCATTTTAGTCCAATGCCGAAGCTGTTTTAGGCCATAGCCATAGGCCGAAGCATATTTACCAGATTACTTGGTGGGAAGCCCAATTGAATATATAGTTTTTTCTCTTGGTGTTACTTTTTGACCAGGGGATTTTTTTTTTTCTAAGGACAATAAGGGAAGGAATGATTTTTTTAATCCGATCAACCAATGGGTGAATGTGGAAATTTAATAGATTAAAAAAATCACATTTTCTTTCCTCTCTTCTTCTTCATTTTTTTTTTTTTTAATTTTGAGAGGAGTAGAGGAGATGTGTAAGTTTTTTAATCAATCAACTTCAAACATTTGCTAATAATGTGGTATAATTAGTCAAAAAATTCATCTATTCCCTTATTTTAATTTCTATTAAACCTAACATATTTAAAAAAATTATTTCTTCATTAACCTCTAAAAAGAATTGAAGACTTATCATCAAGAAATGATGGGGAAAATCACTTTCCAACTTGGCTATAATTTCTTAAAATTACAAGGTGGTTCTCATGATTCTTAGCATATATTTAGAAACATGCACTAAAGAGAGAATATTAATTCATCTTATGCTAAAGTAATATCTTTTAGAGTCAGATTGGTTTAAGAATATGTTTAGATAAAAATTAATAAAAAAAGTAAAGGAAAGTGAAGGGAAGCAGGAACCGTAAAGGGTAAATATTAACTTTATTTGAATAACTTAAAAA